ATCCACATTATAAAGTCACTAATTATGGATGGTCTAATAGATATGGACGCATAATGTTCTATGGCAGTACTACTCCAGTAATATATGATGTACGTAGTGCTACTACTTCTATTGATAAACATTAATAAATTTCTTCTAACTTTTCAGGGAATTTCTTATCAATATTCCTAATATTAGTGGTTTTTGAAAAGCATTTTGGACCATGAGAATATGAACTGAAATGAATACTATTATCTGTTAGCAAATGATTTGAAATTATAATTTATTTTTCCTTAGTTCTACACCTATTAAATATCAATTTTTTTTTTTTCCAGACTTGATGAAAAAGGATTTCATCAATAGAAGTTATTGCTCCTATTTCAAGTAATTGACATAGTTTGGCTTTTAACTCCCTATTAAGGGGTCTAATTGAGTTTTTAGTTTGGATTTACGCCAAATCCAATCTGATCCAAAATAAATATTCGATTTTCAAATTTCCAATCCAATTCGATGTATTTTCCTCACCAAATACAATTTGATCCAATTCGAATTTATACTGACTACAATCACTACATAGTGTTTACTAATGTGTAAAAAACAATTATGTGTTTTGAATAGGTTATGTAAATGAAATTTATAATTTTAGTTTTTAGGAGGCGGGACTATTTGATAGGAATGTTTAAAGAATGTCATACTATTTGTGTAACAAACCTTTTTTTTTTTTTCAATTTCTAAAGCATTCGTGTTCTTGGGAGTCCATACGACAGACATTACTAAAGGTCTAAAGCAATGATTTAAATTACCACAATTAATTAAGTAGTCATCTAATTTCAATTGTGATTTAATAAATTTATGCCGACTATTATATTTGTTAATTAAAAAGTATGAGAACTCCATATCATGTAGCTCAAATTGATTAAAGAAACCTTGTAGCACTCTCCAAGTCTTTATAATGCTATACATTCATATTTCGGACGCTATCTCTATCATTGAATCATCACTTCTTCTAGCCGATTTTGATTGAAAGATTGACACGATTGAGTAAAAAACTTAATTATGAAAAAATACATTATTGGGACTTCCTAATTCGTATTCTTCCAGCCTATACTAGCGTTTAGTATCATATAATATAATGTGCTCTTCAATATATGGGCAAAACTTGTTGGAACAATTCAAACTCAATTGCAGTACCGTACCAAATTACATATCACTTGAAAAGAATTACTGTATTCTTTCATAAGAAAAAAAATATTCGATGCAATAATGTCATAGAACAAACTCAATGCATGTATTACAACTTAACGGGTACAACAAGAATTATGATCCAAAAAGAAAAAATCTAATATACTCGAGTGTACAATAATTTCCCTCGGAATAATCATATTTACAAATTGGACACCGACAGTCACGTTTCGAAAACCAATCACCAATGCAGTGACAATGGAAGTTATGCCTACATGTTGGAAGAATCCGAAGCAATTCTCCGTCTTCAAACGGATAAATACATATGGCACAATCTATGTTACTAAACTCTATCATCCTATCTTCAGAGTATATATCTAATGGAAATCTCCTATATATTTTTTCAGATAATTTACGCTGGACATAACGTCCTACTAAATAATAATAACGAAAAGTATAGGCTACTAATACTATTACAATAATAATTATTGCTACACAAATGGGTACAAAATATTTGCTCTTGAGCATCGTTTCCATGACATGTGTTTTTCCATTGACTACCGGCAAGGTTGCAAGGCGCCTAGATTATGCACAAACATGCATGAATTAAGAAATATGTAATAAAGAAAAGATTTTAATCAGGAAAATAATCATCTCGCATACTTCAATTGTATGGTTCATGTTTCTTACACAAGATATATATAAATTCTAATTTAAATTCCATAACATGTAGATCCAAAATGTCTATCTAATAAATAAATAAATAAATCGCACATGATTTAAATAAGCAGTATTTCAATTTGCACCTCGTACGAAGTATTAATATAAGTTAAATAACATATATTCGTATTTCATTTTAAATGATTTTTATATAATAAATAAAATTAAGCTATATTTTTGATGTGGTACAACATAAAGTCAAGTAAAAGTAAGTATTATTAGTCCTTGTATTATGCAAATTAGCAACCGTGTAAACCATAAAACATGATCCCAATTCCCAAAGTTGCACCTTAATTATTATAAACATGAACATGACAATACTAATTAATACTTCATATAATCGTATATACGGAGTATCTAATATCGTACTAAGAATAGCATAATATATGCAAGATTGTGTGAATAAATATTAATAATACAAGAATAGTAGATTAATAATTGATCAGAGAGTATTAAATTAGCTACTTGTGAGTTTTATGAGTGAAAGGAATACTAGTATCAAGCCGTACCGTTGCATTAAACTTATTTTTCACATGCATGTTTCCTCAAAACAAAAAAAATTTAAAAGAACATATTTTACCATGTTATCAGTAGTCTCAACAACGAAGTGAAGCCTCGTGGAGCATCAGCGGCAACTAAACCCGAAAGCAGTGATCGTGGAAATCGTCCTTGATGCCCATAAGAAGCCGGCGGAGTTTGAGTTAATGCCATGGCAGCGCAGTTAATGTAACAAGATATTGCCCTAATTGTGAAATGAAGATCAATTTTTTTTTTTTTTTTAAAAAAGAATTCTTTCGTTATTCAGTGAAAAAAGCTGAAGTATATGATAAGTTATGCACATATGCAATGATATTTATACTAATACATAGATCACTACTACTAGTAAGCAAATTCTCTACGTAACAAACTCGATCATCAGTATTAACTAAGAGTATTTTCTAATTAATTTCTATTACTTCCCAAGTTTAGTAATTATTCTAGCAAGCGTCGTCTACAAATAAACCACTGATTAATACTGTATTTTTGCCAATGAGATACATAGTATCACGTTGTAATCAATACAATAATTTACAAATGCAGCAAATTTTTTGAAAATAAATTCATGAAATGGATTCCTACGTACAATATCATACACTAAGAAGTAAATTGAACTGATGCACTCACTAATTCATACTAAACTTGGAAATTTAAGATGTTCAAGATTGTCTAGCTGAATCGACTTGTGAGTATGACTCACTTCCTTGGCAAATTAGCATTTAAAATTGTTAATTTTCCAAAAATAGACACAATATTTCAGCAATTTCAAGTAGATATATTCAATATTTTAACAACAAACATCATGTAAATTAAATGACATAAAAAAGCTATTTTCTTGAATTAATTAATACGGAGTAAAATTTATCAATAATAATCTTCAGTTAATAACTAATAATTTAACAGCAATCATTCTTGATCTCGAAATCATCAATTGCAAATGTTACCAGCATAAATTGTATAACTGAGATGAGATTAAAGCAATTTTCTACTTCGTTATTTGGTAATAAAACTAATAATCCAACTACAAAGTAAAGTCGTGAGTCCCCTGAGTTATGAAGTTGGACCTACACATCAACTGATAAACCTCATATGAGAACCCAAAATCACAATAAAGGTTACATTTTTTTTACTTGCTATTTTTAAAAAATTATACATAATTAACTCTTCAATCTTGTATAATTACCCCATACTTAATTCGACGTTATTCCTACTCACAAGCTAATTCAGCTACACATTCTTGATCGAACAATTGTGCATTTGTGCAATGCACTTCCCAAGTTAGTATGTAGGGTTGTATGAGTAGTAGTGCACGATATAAATGTATGTGATGCACGTATGTAGGTATCATCACTTAATTAAATTCTTAGCGATTTACATTGTAGACACCCATTATTTCAAGATAATTTACTGCATTTGGAAACTACTCCATAATATAGTACAGCATGATACCTCCATTGGCAATTAATAGTGGCTTATTATTTGGTAATTCTTTACTCTATCACATCAAATTTAATATGGATCAGTCATTTTTGAGTTCTTATAATAAAGGAGGCCAAAGGGTTTAATGTATCCAATAAAACCTTTCTTAAGGTTTCAAGATATTGTGAAATGTTTTTGAGTTCTTCACATCGTCTTTGAACATCTAAATTAAAATGAATTCCCTATATCTAGTTCTTAAGTTTTTGAAATGAATTCATTAGATTATGAAGAACTACATACTATATTCCTATCTTTTTTTTTTTTTTTTTTGTTTCACTAGATTATGATCGAATTAAAGTATCCTTACCAAGTTTTTATATTAATTATATTCTTATTTATTTTCCGTTTTGATCATGAATAAACAAAAATACATAAGTAAAATATAATTATGTCAAAAGTCTATATATATTTAAGACCCTTGTGAACTCGAATAACAAAAGAAAACAAATGTGCATGTTTATATTATGGAGTACAAGCATTTTTTATTTATTTATTTGGCATAACTCTACCGAAGCAGTCGACCCAATCTAATTTTGTTGGTCAATTTCCTTGAAATTTGCTGGGGGAGGAAATTTCCTCAAGGTGAAATCGTTAGCTAGTAAAGCTTGACTGCTTGATCTCATGACCTTAAGGCTATAAGGTTCATTCTTTAATCACCAAACCAATTGTTTTTTAATAGAAATGTTAACAAGTAAAATTATTGCTCCACACAACATGTTTAAACACAAACTTTGTGTTAACAACGCGATTTGAATATGACAAATAGCTCGCTAGTCAATTAAATTACTACATCAATATATTGTAAACCAAATGACAATATTAAAACAAAAAGAGTGACGGTATGCTAGCTAATTCTTTTGGGATTCAAACATTTCAAGCTAATCACCTAGAAATTTTCAAAAATGGCTCCAATTTTTTAATTTGAATGTTCGTTAATTAAGTTGTTGAGTTCAATATAAATAGGTCCTAAGACTCCTTAAAAATCACTAGTACATATATAGTATAGTGCTTACAAATTGTCAATTGTCACATAACACTCAAGTTTCTAGCCTTTGATAATTCATGCAATCCCATTTCTCAAACAAGATTTTTTTCCTTTAGGCATGGGTGTCATTGATTCATGTTCTATGGTCATTTTAACAATGATTACCGTGTGGTTGTTGTTTACACCTTTCATCGCCGGGGATGGTAAGGCCGTAACACCATCCATGCCCCTTGTAATCGCCTCCCATTGCTCAGACAAATGTGGAAATGTTAGCATTCCATACCCATTTGGTATCGAAGATGGTTGTTACTTAGAACAACCCGATATTACACCTTTTCCTAGCTTCAAAATCAATTGCAGTCATCATCATAATAGCCTTCCTACAATATTTGGTACCAACTTCGGAATACTCAACATTTCAGTAAAAGAGGGAGATTTTCATTCTAAATTACCAGTTTCTTACTATTGTTACAACCAAAGCGGGTATGTTAACAGTTGGATGACTTGGTTCAACCTTGTAACGTTTACCTTATCTAGCACGAAAAACATATTAGTTGCTATAGGGTGTGACACCTATGCCACATTTTCGGGGGTTAGAGGTGACAAGGAATATGGAACAGGATGCATGACTAAATGTGTAGAGCCGGAAGATGTGATAGACGGTGAATGTACCGGTGTTGGTTGTTGTCAAGCCTCTATTCCCGGCGGAATTAACAACGTTACAGTGTATTTAGACAGTTTTAACAACCATAGTTCTGTGTACACTTTTAACCCGTGCAATGTTGCATTTCAAGTTGCAAAAGATGTGTTTACGTTTAACAGAAGATATTTAAGTCATGATATGGAGTACTACCAAGGCTTGGCCCTTCCTGTAGAGTACAATTAGGCTACCACGGCAATGGGACTACAACTGATCGTTGCATTCTTCATGCAAAGCCTAAGCCTTGGCTCATTCCTGTATTGGTCACTGCAGGTATGCCTATAGCTCAAATATGTTAAAGCTCTATTTCGTTTTATATCATTATTATTAGTAACCCAAAAAGTTCATGAGTTTCTCAAGCCGAGCATTGTTGTGTTCTGTTTGTGAAAGATTCGAGCTAAGCCTAAATAGCCTAATGAGCTAACTAGGCTAATTAATACCCTTAAGTCTAGCACAACACAACTCATTTGTCAGCTCTACTTATAAGTAATCATATACTTCATTTTATTGAGAATTATAATTTGCGTATGAGTTAGCCCAATCATTGCACCTATTAATCCACTAGCTAGCGCTTTGGTGTTATACAAGATGACTTAGTATTGACTTAATCCAACTTGTCCAATAACCAAGTCTAGGTGCTTCTACATTTATATATGACTACCACATATTGTATATCGTGCCCATCTCAAAATTTTAAATAATAAGCAAATCGGCATTTTCATTTTGTAGGTATTGGTGGTGGTACCATAATTATGCTTGTGATTGGATTTATCTTGCACTGGAAACATGGGAAAACACAACTCAAAAATATGCGAGAAAGTTATTTTCGACAAAATGGTGGTTTGCTTTTATATAGTAAACTCTCTGGACAAGATGTTGACATATTGAAAATATTTTCTATACAAGAGCTAGAAATTGCAACTGATAATTATAGCGACGAAAATATAATTGGAAGAGGAGGTTTCGGCATTGTTTACAAGGGAATTTTGCTAAATAATCAAGTTGTCGCAATCAAAAAATCACTCAAGGTGAATCCGAACCAAGTTGAGCAATTCGTTAATGAAGTTCTTGTTCTATCACAAATCAACAACAAAAATGTGGTCAAGTTGCTAGGTTGTTGTCTTGAGAGCGAAGCACCACTATTGGTGTACGAGTTCATCAATAATGGGACATTATATGACCACTTAGACGACCCAATCAAAGCATCCTTAATGAAATGGCATGTGCGCTTAAATATAGCATCCGAAGTTGCTGATGTGCTATCATATCTACACAATACAATCTCAACACCGATAATTCATAGAGATATGAAGTCGATGAATATACTCATAGATGAAAGGTACACGGCTAAAGTATCAGACTTCGGAGCTTCAAGGTTGGTTCCATCAGACCAAGACCAATTGGCAACAATGGTGCTAGGAACATGGGGGTATTTGGATCCCGAATATATGCAAACAAGTGAACTAACTCAAAAAAGCGACGTTTATAGTTTTGGTGTCGTCTTGTTGGAGCTATTGACTAGGAAAAAGGTGGTATCTAATGATAGACCCGAAACTGAAAGAGGCCTCGCTATGCACTTCATACTAAAGATGAAAGAAGGCCGATTGTTTGACATACTTGACAAATACATAGTGAGCGAGGAAACAGTTGAAGAAATACAAAAGGTGGCCATTTTAGCTAAATGGTGTTTGATGTTAAAAGGAGAGGAAAGGCCTACGATGAAGGAGGTTGCAATAGAACTCGAAACAATTAAAAGAAAAGGATCGCATCCATGGAGTAACAATGAATTGTTTCAAGAAGGCGATTGTGAATTTTTGCTCGGAGAATTGTCAATATCAGATTACGGCGAATGTAGCATTGGTTATGACTCAAGTACATATGATTCACGCATAGTTTCGTCTTTGGGAGGTGGAAGGTAACTGCTGTATCAATTTTATGGTTGCCAAATTATCTGTACATTATTAACTGAGTTGAAGTATGGTCTTAATGAAACTATGCAAGAAAATAACTCATATATTTTATCTTCTGGCAATATATATTGTAAAGTGTTGTACTAAATCACAATCATTTTTTATTTTTCATGCATAACTTGTCAAATTGCGTATGTATTAATCGCCTTTCTAGATCTCGCTTATACGAACTCCTGTAAGCATCTTTCCCTGCTACGTATTTTGCAGCAATATCTGCTCTTTGTAAAAATTTGATACGGAAAAAAGAAAAAACAAAAAACAAAAACAAACAAACAAACAAACAAAAAAGTACAATAATAAAGTGAATTGAAGGAACTTTACTTCAATAGATAGGCTTAAGCAGGCAAACAGAAAAGCCTGTTATTACTTCACAAGCCACTCACAAAAGCAAACAATCCACATTTGTAGTATACAGAGCACCCAAAACTAAGTTGAAGTTAAGAAGATGAGGAACTATGATACAAATGACGATGACGATGCTAGTCACACAATGTTGGATGAATGATGGAGTCATGGAACTTATTCTTAAGAAGTGTCCATCAGAAAATGTAGTCTGGCATAACAAGCGGAAATCGAGCCACTTCAACCTGAAACGGATCACCTTTTGGCTGTGCCAATCTACCAAGGAAATGAGAATAAATTCAGCATCCATTAACCATATGATAGTAATGAGAAAATAAAACATGGCAGGCATAAAAAATTGTAACAAGTTCAATATTTAAGGATTTCACAACTGTGATAGTATGAGAATAAAAGGTATCCAATACCTTCCAGGGACAAATGTAAAAGAACCTTCAATGGAACCAGGTGTACGCTGCTGATTTGAGCAGCTTTCGTATACAAATTCTTTCTCACCGGGAAGCAGCAAAGGGTACTGAAAGGAAAGCAGAAAAAAAATTGTCAAACTTGAAAGATTGAAGAATGTCATGTGAGCAGTTCAAATTCAAATAACTAAATAAGTTTATCTTTCCCAAACAATCTGACCAGAACTTGTATGCAGCACTTGTTAAATGTTTAGAATTTTTTTTATCTATCTAATTCTTAAGGACAGGACTTTAGGCTATTATCAAATCCTCAGCTGAATATAATTTTTGTTTTCAGCCTTTAAGTATATTAAATAGATGTGAGTAGCAACTAAAGCACTCGGAAATGGGAATTTGAAAATAGAAACAGGGAAATGAACTCAGTCGAATGAAGAGAGAAGCAAATTTCATTTTCTCTCAATTCATGCATCTATTACTTAAATTAAAGGGAAATATCCCTGCACTTCAAAGAGTATGCACCTTTTATCTGATAGATCATTTAAATTATAAAATAAAAGATTGGTTCACAATATATTGCTCTAAAGCAAGAAACATTACTTCCATTGGCCAATTGTAAATTTTGCTGGTATACTGGAAGTTGTTTACCCCATTTTGACGATCGCCCAACTTAAACTGACAGGAGGTCACTAAACACCCTAGCTGATAGTTTCTTTCAAACGAAACCATTAAACTTTAGTTTTGTGCCCACATAAATATCCCCTAAACCATCATGCTCTAAGATTTGTGGTATTGCGGCTAATGGATATCAAGAGCTAAGAGAATACGAGATTGACTTACTGGAACCTTAAAACTTGACAAGTTGACATTAATAACATGGACCTAAATGTTCCAAATTAGAGGAAGGTGCACAACAGTCACAACACTCAACACAATAAACCAAATTGGTTCGCCTGCTATCAGAGGACTCAGAGGACACAGAGGAACAAAGTTCATATTCAGCAAGTTGAACTGTGGCCAACAAACAAGGTGTACAAGGAGTCATTTAAGAACAGTGACCAGGGTTATCTTTAAATACTGTAATGCATCACATAATGAACAGATTTGAAGAGTTTACTTCCAGGCACAACTGAGACTGTGAGCAATAAAGCAACAACCGCCCAGGATTGTGACTACGCATAAGTACAGAGTTTAGTGCACCTTGTGGATGATAACCCTGAACAAACTATGGTACAGTTCCTCGAGTCTTGTTCAAGCAATCACCTATTGACAAGCACAGTTCGAGAGCACAAAAAAAAAAAAAAAAAAAGGCTCACTTCCTACCATACCCATAAGCTTATAATTAGATCAGGAAAAAAAAAAAGGAATCAACTGGCTGATAATGACACACCAGGAGCAGGCATGGCATTCTCCCTTATAAATAAGAAATTGAATTGTGTGCAATGAGAATTTAAGGAAATTTCTACTTTAAGTCACAGTTTAAAATCTGAGATGCATATTTCAGCTGAGGTGGAAGCAATTTATGTGAACAGATTTTCAGACTGACAACAATTAAGCTCTTCAACTATATTGCTGATTACCTCTAGGTTCCAGAGGATATATAAAGATAGAAATCAGCACTAATCCCAAATTCCAAACAAGGTGAAATGTAAAGAGTGATGAAGGTAGATCATCAATTGTAAGCAGCATACTGATGACTGGACTCATCCGCTTTTGCCATGACAATGAATTCAGCATGCTAAGATTGCTAACCATCTTGTATATTAATTGGAAGAGAGTTATAAGGTTGCACCAATAACTACAATATGTTGAAATTCTAATTCCAGCTATTGTTATGCAGTTTTGTCAATTTATTATAAATTCATGTCTAAGAAAGTAAGAATCCAGAGCACAGACAGACTTATTTCAGAAATGGCTTAAAGAATAGGTAGGCTGCAGGCTTTGTTGCAAGCTCTCATGGAGTTGGATCATGAAAACATATTATTAGATGTATGAGAACATATTGCTAGATGTACAGTGGCCAAAAAGATAAAGCTGTACTAATATAAACATAGGGATAAATTAATTTCAGTCACATTCATCGCAAAAAGGTAATTATGAAAATTATAGATAAAGGCTACCTTTCCTATGACAGCTTCTCCATTAACATCGTGCATTACAACCTCATTTTCTCGGATGATCCAACGTCTCCGGTGAAGTTGACAAGAATCGTATGTCATTCCATGTACTTTACATCCCTCAGGCAAAAGGGACATCCGGATCGAGTAAGCAAACATAAATTTGGGGCTTACAAGCTCACTTTGCTCTGGAACAAGCACAGCAGATGCACGGACCTGACATGAACATTGCACTTATAAGATGAGGTTGATGTCAGGAGAAAGGTAAAAAGAATTAAAATAAAGAAAGTTCAACCCAAGCAATAGCAAGCATGAAAACAGGATTATTTCAAGTACAAGTACACCAAACTTCCAACTTGTTATTTTGAAAAATGGGAAAACTGATCACAGTCCTAACTATTAACATCCTTCATTAAACAGTCTTATCAAATATGCAAAAGGTGCTGGGACTGTCTGATTAGTCTCCGAATAGTTAAGACCGTTCCTAGTTAATTAAAAAGACATTGCATGCTATGAACAAAACTTCATATAAGTATACATTCTGAATCTCCATAGATCTCATTTTAGAAATTCAACATCTATGACACAAATTTATGACTGGGTGACTATAGGTAAACATATAAATTAACTAGTTCAGGAAACAAGCAACCAAATGTTTGTTTATGAGTCAAGTCTTCTACATCAAATATCCTACTAAAATGAACAATATCCGTGCTCAATTGAGGATAAACTAGAAAATAGTAAGTTCACTACACCTCTTCTAAACAATAATCATCCCTTAGGGCCAGAACTATAATAGAACGTAGCTCATTATATTTCACCACAAAACGTGGATCAATTACGCATAGTTGCTAATTTGTTATCACACTATTTATAAAACAAAGCTTATTTCAGCATGCATAGAAGATCTTTTCAATATATTTACTTTTTATTCCAACTACAGTACCTGTACACCATTTGTCACAGCAGTGGAACAGAGAGGTGGTTTTTCTGGAAACTGACTAATGCTCTTCAGATTTTCTTGCTCAAGAACTGTAATCATACCACTGTGTAAACGACGGTTATGTTCTTCCAACCACAATAACACTCCATCACACTGTTGATTACTACTAGACTTCAATAATGCATCAGGAACACAAGGAATCATTTCACCGTCTTCTCTAAGCATAGCGGTGCCAACATACAGTTGATTATTTACACAATTAAGGCAGAAGACCTTTTCACTTCCTTTAACAGAGGAAGCTACAGCAATAAACTTGGAAGCATTAGAAAAACCTAAGTCACGTTTTATGCTCTGTGACTCCATAACAGCATGCCTTAAAGGTAGTAAGTTCACATTCACCAGGTGGTTATACACAAAGTACCCTCCAATAAGACCCAACAGGTTCTCCGAATATTCCTGACCATCATGCAAACGATAAATTAATCTTGTTGGAAGAGGCAATTTCACTTTTAAGCTTTTCTCCACATCATTTAACTCCTCCTCAGATGCACCCTTTCTCAAAGTTGCAAGCACCTCCGGAAAATTGCTTTCCAACCAACTTTTAAGACTATCCCAACACCTTTTGACACGTTTGAAAAGAGGCCAGGGATACATAATGAAAGCTTCCCTCCATAGTCGATAAGCTACCTGGGGAGACCAACAATAATCCAAATTGAGATCAGCAGGTAGACAAACTTTCTTTTGTGAGGGAGAACGGAGAAAGAAAAGAAGGGGAAAAAAATATAGAGAAGATAATGATTTAACAAGGGTGCAGCCAACAAGCAATCAACAAACACGTAAAGAGAGAAATTTTCAACTTGCTAAATTTTGATCTTACATGTCTAAAAGTCAACCAAGAATTCTTGGAGACAGAAAGATAGAAGTCCAAATTTACCATTTCATTAGAAAAAACTCGGCATATGTCTTCCAGTTGATGAAATCTTTCTAGGTAACACCGTAACAAGACATGCAAAATTAAACCTAGAGTAAATGGTATTGGCCAGCCTAGACTACGATGTACAAGGATGAAGCATACATATCTCTCCAAATTATACTTAGAAGAATTGTTGCAAAGTAATACTCTGTATCCAATCATGGACTATATATGTAAATTGGTTCAATTTTCAAGTCAATATACAAGAGAAAACTGATGTGACTGACATAAAATTATATTATTCTTGCTTACACAAATAAGTATGCCACACAAAACATCCCATAATCGCCACAAACTTATAACACTCTTGCTTACACATATGAGTATGCCACACAAAAAATTCCATAATTTCTTAATATATTCAGATACACAAAACAATTCCTAACTATATGAATCGATCACACTGACATAGTCAAACATTTTCTCAATGGTCAGACCATATTAATCCCATTAATATCATACACAATATCAACCAACAAACCTACAGTCATTTTCGGTTAATAATGGTCAAAAGTAGAATATCTCACTCAGATCAGCCACACTAGTCAACAAAACTTACATTTCAATTAATATCAATTCAAAGCATAAATCACATAAAGCTACATTCTTTCTCAAGAAAAGCATCAACCTTTATATATATTCGAAACCAAAACACAATACCAATCAGCTACTACCCAAATCATCGAAATTACCCAGAAAAAACACAGAATCACACAATTTAGCTCTGAAAATCATCAAAAAAATAAATAAAAAAAATAAAAAAAATCAACCCCAATTGATCAGCCTTAATCAAACACAGAATACCCCCATATCATATCACATAATTATATAAAACACACCAAGAATAAACACTGAATTCAATATAGAAGACCTCAAAAAACAAAAAATTTTAAAACTAAAATAAAATAAAATAAAAAAGATGGGATAATGGGATAATACCTTATAAGAAGGAGCAGGGGAGCCAAGAGGGTCAATGGGGGTAGAGATATTAAGGTCTCGGGAACAGTGATTAGACCAATAAAAATCATCAGAAGCCCAACCCTTGAATTTCTTGTTAACACAAGAAACAATAGCAGTGTGATTTGGGTCTAATTTTGAGAGGATTACTTGAATTGCTAGATCCCCTAAACCCTCAATTCCTATTTCTGCTTCCATTTCTTGGTGTTGCAGCAGTTCATGTGTTTGCCTAGTTTGTTTTGTAATTAGGTTTGCAATTACACGAGAAAGGAGTTGAAGCTGGGGTGTGTGGCGGTGTGGCCTCGCCTTCTTCTACTTGGGGAACAACAAATGTTATGAGGTGGAGCCGTGGAGGCTATTTTTGTACTCCTAATTTGTTGCCTTTTTTTTTTGGGTGTGTTGTCGAGACAATGGCGAGATGTAGATAGGATTTGTAGTGAGTAATGACGTCTTTGAATCTTATTATCACAATGTATCATATTAGTGCACGAGATATATCTATTTTTAAAATAGTGACGATCTTGGTATATTTTAAATAAAATGTCCTCTTTATATATTTTTTTTGTCTAATAATATCTTTTATTTTCAATGATGTAAGTTGGGTCTGATAAAGGAAAATGTATCCTAAGTTATAATTAATCTATTCCCTCAATCCCTAAATTAGAAGCCTATTACCCGGTCAGCCCTTTTTTTCATATAGTGAGGAATTGTTTTGTGTGGTTGAATACGATAGGTAATTATGAAACTTTTTGTGTGGTATACTCATATGTGTACGCAAGAGTTATAATTTGGTGTTGATTATGGATATTTTGTGTGGCATTTTTATTTGTGTAAGCAAGAGTATATATTACGGAGTATAAGTTTGTGTGTGTGTGTGTTTTTTTTTTTTTATAATGGTAAGAAGAAGGGGTTTTATTTGAGGGGAAAGATAAAGGGAAATCCCTCAAAAGGAGTCCCATGGGGTTTGATCCCTAAATCACAAGGATACGATGTGAGAGTGATGCCACTACTCCATCATCTCAACCTCAGAGTATAAGTTTGTGTGGGTCACATTGACCTTCTCATATGTATTGGCTTGAAAATTAAACCAATTTACATATATAGTCCATTATTGGAACCCTTTCAATTTGCAACACTTCTTCAAGTTATATTTTGGAGAGGAATAGAGGATATGTATGCTTCATCCTTGTACAAGGTAGTGTTTGCCGGCCAATACCATTTACTCTAGATTTTGTTTTCCATGTCTTGTTAACTAGAAGGACTTCATCAACCGGCAGACATATGCCGAGGTTGTTCTAGTGACGTGCTAATTTTCTTTCTCCAAGAACTCTTGGTTGACTTTTAGACATGTAAGATGAAAATTTAGCAAGCTTAAAACTTCCTTCTTTATGCGGTTGTTGATTGCTTTTTAGCAAGTTAAGGTTGTAAAGCAAGATGCTGATGGAGAAGCTGTCATAGAAAAGGTAGCTGTTTCTATGAATGTGACTGAAATTGATTCAGCCCTATGTTTATGTTAGCACCCCTTTGCCTAGCTTTTTGGCCGGCGTATGTAAATCATCTAACGATATATTTTCCATGATCCACCTATAAGAGAGCTTGCAACAAAGCCTGTGTACACCTTCAAACTTCAATTAAAAGTATTTATTTTCATATGATGAATCATCCCTTGATATGTAAGGTAGGTGATTAACATATTCTCCCTTCTCATACATTATTGGCCTTCGATTTTAATGCCAAAAACCCATTAGCATTCTAGTGAAATGGAATGTAGGAGATGTGCAGGATCGCTTTTATATACCACTTAAAATTTACATGCGTGGTATGTCAAGGTCATTCTAGACTCTCTTAATTAAATCAAAATGTTTTATTAAAATTGTGGAGTCTGCTTCTGTCGTGGCAGTTCCTGATTATCGCTCAAATTTCGCAGGACTTGGTACAAGTTTTGAAGCCTAGCAAGTTCTTTGTCTAAGACTTCCTGTTCCATTGAAACATGATTTTGTATGTTTAGGCATATTGTTATTCCATTGATGCAGAAAATCATATGAATCTAAGTACTCTAGAACCATGCAGGTGAAAGTGATCTGGCTATACAAATTAGTGACATTACTCACTTGATAAACTATCTAACCGTTGTTTTAATGCTCCATTCTCCGATCCATACCAAGTATAATGTACTTCAGATCCTGCTGCCTGCAATAGGAGATTATGTATGAGGTCTATTATAAGATCTTGCACAATGCTCTATCATAATACTATGTTACTCGGACTTTGGTACACATTAATGTACTTCATTAGTTATGTCAGACAGGGCTATTTGTTGATCGATGTGCAGGGAAAAGAAAAGAAAACCGGCAAAACTTGGGCATTTTTCTCCAATTCTGCAATATATATATTGAACTTCCTGACACGTGACCAACCCGTATATACTATGTATGAGGTGTATTATGAGATCGACTTAGCACAATACTCTATTCTAATACAGTAATACTCCGTACTATGTAGTAATACCCTCGCTCACGCGCGAGAGCCTTGCAACTTGTTGCATATTATGATTTTTCTATGATCGGAGAAAAGTTATCACTTTAATCAATAAATGTCAAAAGTCCAAACAAGCATATATACACAGTCCAAGCAATTTTTAACTAAAAATCTCAAAACTCGTCACAAAAACTGTAGACTTCTGAGATACAAGCCTAGACCTAACAATCCTGACCCAAACCTGATGACCCGATTCGAATGACCCGACCTATGACCCGAAATTGACCCAAATACAATGACCCGAAATCCGAATTAGACCCGACCCGACCCATACTCGACCCGAAAATAGAGTTGACCTGACACCCTAATTGACCCGACCCAAAGTTGACCCGGATTGTTTGACCCGAACAAACCCGATACCCGAAATTGACCTGAACAGACCCAATACTCGAAATTTTCCAAACTAAACTACCTTATTGAACTAGATATGTCTGGTGCCAAAAATAATTTAAATTGTTCATCTTCAACTATAGCCATGCTCATAAACCGATTTGATAGTTCTTATTATAACAATAATAAAATATTAAATTCTTGATTTGAGCTAGATCCACAAATTAAATGGAACAACATGAACATGACTCGACTTGACTTTGACCCGAACATATTTGACCCGAAAATGACCCGACCCAAAATTGACCCGATCCGAACTCGACCCATTACCTGACCCGAACATCATTTTTTCTCTTTTTTCCCACCCAATTTCTCCATAGCCCGCTTATAACCCCTAATTCCCTTTTTCTTTCATTGTTAAATCAAGCACTTGGTAGCAACTTACAACATTTAGTTTTTATAAGGTAGTTTCTTACAACAATTTTCTTATAAGGTAGTTATTCACAAAATTTGATGTATATAAAGTAGTTTTTTACAAAATATATATCATGTGTTAGAAACCTGAACCATACAAATTGAAGTATACAAGAGGATTCTTGTACTCCCTTATCAACATGCCTAAATTTGTGACATTATATTGAGGCAAAAATAATAAAATATAGCTTTTTTGGGAGAATGGCAAAAATATAGATGTTGTTAAGTTGATAATATTGCGTAATGTTATTAAGTTGGTAATATTAATCTTGACATCTTGTGCTAGAAATATGAATTATACTAATTGAAGATTTGAAGTACATTATATGAGATGATTATTTTCCAATAAAGTTATAATAAATACTTCGTATTTCTTTCGATCATTGTTTATTTTCTAGTAAGTTTATCGGGTTGTTACACGTGTTGCATTGAACATTAATTAGTTCATCGATACTTAATCTAGGCACCTTGCAACCTTGCCGGCGGTAGTCCATGGAAAATCAGAAGGCACAAAGGGGATGCTCGGTCTCCTGAGAAATAATGCTGTAGCCATTTTTGTCGCAATTTTTATTGTTGTAATAGTATTAGTAGCTTATTTTTGTCGTTATTATTATTTAGCTGGACGTTATGTCCAACGTAAATTACCCGTAGAAATATATAGTATATATCTAATGGACATTATGTCCATTAGATATATACTATGTAGATAGGCATACAGAATTTATTAACGAAGATTGTGTCATATGTATTTATCCGTTTTAAGACGGAGAATTGCTTCGGATTCTTCCGACGTGCCGGCACAGCTTCCACTGTCATTGCATCGACAATTGGTTTTTGAAACGTGGCTGCCGATGCCCAAATTGTAAATATGATTATTTCGAGGGAAATTATTGTACACTTGAGTATATTAGATATTTTCTTTTTGGAACATAATTCCTGTTGTACCTGTTAATAATTTGTAATACGTCGAGTTTGTTTATGACATTATTGCGTCAAATATTTATTATCTTACTTAGATTAGGTCCCATGCCATGCACGGTAATTTCCCTCTATTTAATTAAAAAAAAATATTTGTCTTACATGATTAAATATATATAGATTAAGTGCTTATAATGTTAAGATATATTAATATTGTTACAAAATTACCTTGCTTATTTAAAATCTATTATATGTTAAGTGTTCATACACAATATTTTAAGGAATAAAATATAATGTATTGTTCTTTTTTTCATTTAAAATATATAAGATTATAATATACGAAGTAAGAGATATGGAAACTATTCCTTCAAAAAAAAAAAAAAAAAAGATATGGAAGATATTTTATTACATATATGGAAAATGTGTATATCAAAAATATCACAATTTAATACTTTGTATATAATTTATAGTAAGTAGAAAGTAAATGACCGCATTGGAAAAAAATAAATAAAAATAAAATATAGAAGAAGTTTTGAAGGGAAAAAACAACACCAGGAAGTAACACGTGTCATTAATTATTATATTATATATTGATTGATGAAATGCAGTATTTTTTTTTTAAAGTGATATACTACTATAATTTTGTTACCGCAAATGAGCTTGAATCGTTGTTTTAACAATGTTTACCCATTTTGTCAAAAAAAATAAAAAAATAAAAAAAAGTTGCCCAATGATGAGCACATTAATTATATGATACTTTACACTAGATATACCATGGTGAATTGGTGATTAAGTTGTATCAAGTGGTTTGATGACCCATAGTACGGAGTATAGGCTAAGCAAGAAAAACGAATTAGAAAGTCCCAATGCATTTTGCCATAATAAAGCATTTTACTCACAATAATGCGTCTTATGTGGGCCCTAAGGTCGAAAATTTGGCCGAACTCAGACAATGGGTGATGACATCTAGCTTTTTTATTTTAAAGGGTGGTAATTTAAAATATTAAAAAATACATAATAATACTTGAAAACTTGTTTTACTTTGCATGTGCGGTCTCCATTATCTTTGAGCACTAATATTTTAGATTATACTCCCTCCGTCCTTACATTTTTGCCCCATTGCAAAAATGTGGGTCGAATTTTAAAAACTTTAATCGTAAATTTCCGTTGTTCTACAAAAAGAAATATAGTCATGTAGGATCTTGTTTGATTCTTCTCATTGTAAATT